GACTTCCAACAAATCCTAAGTTTTACAATCTTTTTTTTTTCTTTTTAATACGGAGAATTTTGGGAAAATAGGGGTGATTCTTTACAAGTGATTGACTCGAGTAAAACTCCCACACCCATGCGACCTGATAGGCTTGGTTCTAATTTTGACAATTTCAAATTTTGATCTCCATAAAATTTTCACAATAACAAGAATGTGAAATCATATATTAGAGTTACTACAATAATTCGTTTCTCGGTTGAAAAAAAAAATGCAACGGATTACTGTCCTAAATTAGGTATATACATTAGAGAATAAGCAAAATCCTAAACAGTTTTTGCACTTTTTTCTTGCTTTTTTTTTTCCCTTCAACCTCTAACGGGTGGAAATTAAAGTGAAAAATATTTAAAATTTGGCCGCAAAGGTTAAAGCGCCTAATAAAATTAGCAACTAAGCATCCACCGGAGCGGGGAGATTGAGATCAAGATCGAGACTTCTGGCCGGCTTGCACTTGACGACGGACGAGGAGTCCGCCTCACTCTGGACTCCACCAAACCTCAAACTCAATTCAACTCCGACCGGCCCAAACCGGACGGGATACACCTGACGCATAACCTCGGTCCTACCCAACGCATTGAAAAACAAAACCGGCTGCGCGTGGCTCATGCCTTCCACCGCACCACCCCCAAGCGCCACCATATGCTGCTCCTGCTGCTGACAAGCAAACGGGAACCTCCCAACCACCCCACCCCCACGTACAACCTCACGCTCCACCGGCGGGCTGGAGGATTCCTCCACAGTGCTACTCTGGCTGGGACTCTGTTTCGCCTCATCCAGAGAAGGAAAATTGGTCTTCGCCTTACACCCACGAAACTCACGCGCCGCCTTGTCGTACGCTTTCGCAGCTTCTTCAGCAGTATCAAACGTGCCAAGCCAGACCCGGGTTTTCTTACCTGGATCTCTGATCTCCGCCGCGTACCGCCCCCACGGCCTCTTCCGTACGCCTCTGTAATGCACCTCCTTCATCCTACCCTCTAAATTGCTCTTCTTGGAGACTTGGGTTGCCTTTTTCTCATTCGGAGGCATGGTTTTGACGTTTGATTTAAGGAGAGATTGAGGTTCTGAGGAGAGGGAAAGGCGCAAGTGATCTTTTTATAGAGAGAGTGTGTGCAGTCAACAAAGGGTTTGACTGAGGGCGCCGCCCCGAGTCAGTAGACACCATGATAACGCTGTTTGAGATATACGTGTCATGCGGGAACTTCGAGATAAGCGGCGAGGTGTTCTTCCTGTGCCGGCTTTTACCTTGACCTTGTTGATTTGCCCTTAGTTTTCACGCGTTGATGGAGTGTGTGGATTCCATCATTAATTTGGTTTGATATTCTTAAATCTCAGTTTTGAGATAAAGATCGTTTTATAATTAAAAATAAGAGTAATAAGGATATTTTCATTTAATGAATATTATTTATGATAGTAATTTCTAAATATTTTTAGCATTGAAAATTTTGATTTTAAAAAAAAAATTTAAAAAGCAAAAAAATTAAAATATTTCAAAAACAAATTTTTATATCATTTTTGGCTATAACTTTACATCTCATTTTCATAATTGGCTATTTTTATTTATTTAAAACTTATAATATTAGATGTATCTACTTATTTAATAATATATAAAAATTATATAAAAAATTATTTTTATACCAATGCCCAAACATATTCACTAAACCTAATGTTATCTTCTAATGGATAATTTTACAATCTTACTCACAATAATTTTATTGGATTCTTTTCAATTACTTTATTTAGACAAAATATATATTTACTTATTTCATATTATATAATTATTTGACATGATGTTATGCATAAAGTAAAATGTATTCTATTGGTTAATACTCATGTGATTACTTTGAAACTTCATTATTGGACAAGATTGTGATGGGTGTATATCCGTTCACTAAGAAGTGAAATGGAAGAAATTAAGGTCCAATAAAAATATGAAAGATGGAATAAGATTTAATATATATATTAGAAGATATTCATTTACATGTAAGTTTTACAAATTATATTTATATAAAATTTTGATAATTTATCTCTTCATTTTCAATAATTAAATTTTATCACGACTTTTCAGATGAAAAAAATAATTATTTTTAATAAATATGAATAAATCTTAACTATTTAAAATTGAGAGATAAATTACTAATATTTTGTGTAAACATAATGTAAAAAACTTTTGTGTAAGTGGATCCATACTATATATATAGAAAAGTATTTTATATGCTGTCTTTCTAAATTTTTTTTGGAGAACATGTTTTAAAAATCCGTCTTCTAATTAATATTTTTAAAAACTAACTATTAGATTAAAAGTTATATTCATATAAATTATGCATGTTAATTTTCAAAATATTTTAATAGACCTAACCACTTCATTAATTATAAAAATTTTAACACTAGTAAATTTATGCCAATAAATGGAGTTTTTTTTTTTATTAAATGGTTATAAATATTAGATTAACATAAAAATTGATATGTATGATTTATATGAATAGAACTTTCAATCTAATAGTTAATTTTTGAAATATTAATTAGAATGTGAAAAATTTTAGGAGGATGACCTATCATACACTATGCTTATATATATAAGAATCTACTTACACACCAAGTCTTATGCACCACACTTATATAAAATCTCAACCAATTTATCTCTTCACTTTTAATAGTTGAGATTTATCATGACTTCTCTAGAGAAAAAAAAATTATCTCTAATAAATGTGAAGAAATGTCAATCATTAACGGTAGATAGATGATTGGTTGAAATTTTGAATAAGTGCAGTGTGTAAGAGTTGTGTACAAGTGGATCCCTCTTTTATATTGTGATAAATCTTAACCATTAAGATTTGTTATGACCTTTTAGCTGAAAAATAATTATTTTTAACAAATGTAAATAAATCTCAACCATTGAAAGTAAAAAGATGAATGATTGAGATTTTCTATAAGTGTGATATATAAAACTTGTGCGTAAATAAATTTCTACTCATATATATATATATGAGAATAATGCCTATCTACTTTACCTCGTAAAGATTACGAGAAAAATTATTTCAAAATTACGTCGTTTCAATAAACTTCCATTGAAAATTACTAAAATACCCTATTTTTAAAGCATGAATTAGAGTGTTTTCTATCCTCTTCTATAGTATTTTATTAAAATAACGTAATTTTAGAATAATTTTTCTTTCTAATGTTTAGAAGGTAAAACAGATAAACACTAACCCTTATATATATTGATAAAGAATAAGATTTAATAATAATTTGCCTAAATAATACTATAAATTTTTTATTTATGGGTAATATAGGGAGGCATATACACAATCCCTTAAAGAGTTGTTTGGTATAATAATTAAAAGTCAACAAATAGTGATAGAGGATAAAAGTTTAATGTTGCAATTAACAATAACTTGATCTAGATGATATTTACTAATTTAAAAACTTTAATTT